CAAGCTGACCAGAGCGATAGGTCAAATATTGTACATACCTCTATTCCCGTGGCAGCCATGATTATTCTAATAGATTCTGACAATCCACGTCCATTAACATACGTGAGGTGTGCCTTTTTTGTGTCAGTTGTCATGATTGAATCTGGTGAATTGGAACAAGCTATCGAAAGTTCTAGAATACTGCAACAATGACTTGGACGTTGGAGACCTGAACATTCGTGTATTCGTTATCGTATTCTATAGATAAGAATAAGGGAGACTTCAGACTATAGTTGTGGGTGGGCGCTGGTAAGTATTAAAAGGAGTTGCTTCATAGAGACATGGTCAAAAGTGTTTGGTCTCTAAGGTAAAAATCGTCAATACTCGTGTCACAGAGTAAGGCCCGCTTATTGCTATCGAGCGGGGCACCCACAGAACTCATACTGGACAGGGGATTCTTTCACTGCTAGAATGGGATAGACAAGACAATAGTACTGACAATTAAAGGTACACCACGATATCAAGGTAAAGCTCCTGGCTTTAATACCTCTCATAGTACAATGAATAAATTCAATCAGATAGGGGATCCATTTGTGAAAACTCACGGTTCCAGAATGTGGAAATGGGTGACACTCAATGGCTTCTGCAACATAACAACAAAGTAATACAGGAGTCTTGTTTGCAGAGGAACGCTATTATTCTGGAGGGCACCGCTGATAGCAGGAGATCGCAGAGCAGTTCATACAAGTCTCACAGAATGATTATTGATACCTGTATCACTTATCTCACAATTCAATATCGCTGCAGCAACACAAGGAGTACTGAACTGTCCTCAGTCTAGCCTATTTATAGGGCATACATGGCCCAGAGATTCAGGTACACCACCTGGGTTTCCACAATGTGGAATTACCAATGTGGTATTACTAGCAGCTGTCTCACGTAGGCAAGTCAGTAGCTAAACCTAGCTTCCAACCAGAATCAAGACTTTGGGCTCCCTAGCTCCACTAATAATACCAATAATAAGATCATACAGTGGCCTCATACACATTGCCTCGACCTCACCAACACAAAGGGGTGCACCTATATATAGTCTAGCTACTGAGGCTTTGTGACATGTACCATCCATCATCACACAGGTACAACTCTCCTCAGTCAATTGACTATCGTCTACCAACTTTTCACAAACACTATCCCCAAGGAACTACACCTCAGTATTGCCAATAAAGTTCTAAACAACAGGCATAAAACTCCCTATACTATTAGCTAGTGCAACACTGGCAAACACTAATAATTGGCAGCTCATGGACACACTCTATTTCGTCTATGTAAACATGGATGCCTACTTTATTAACTACTCAAGCTTAGGACAACTGACAGCAGTGTGATTTGGTTCACCATAAATATAACAGCCCGACTTCAGAACTGACCTTTCCGACTACCACCTTGAAACTGGCTAGATTTCAGATTTGTACCACCCGCCTGTCTATGTGCATCTCTAAATCAGCTAATTCAGCCTTTTGTTTATCTGACTTGGGTGACCTTTCACCTATGAAAATAGACAACTCGTTACAAAATGTACTCATCAACTGATCTCTCATCACTAAGTCCTTAGCTCCTTCAAAACACAAAATTCAGACAGCTCTACCCATCTTTCAAAATATTTATTTAATCTAGCTGCAATTCCGAAATGCCCACTTCGCCGAAATCTCTTTCTATAACACTCTTCATTGATATCATAACGCTTCAACAAAGCTGCCGAAAACACATACTTGCCTGTCAATAATGCACCAAGATTCATCACCCAACTATCACGCCGCCATTTCTGAGTTGCAGAAAATCGCCCGAACCTTGAAAATAAATGCATCCATCTCATCAAACAAATGTAGCTTAGGACCCTTAGAGCCAACAATGGACTGAACCAACTGTTCTACACCTTTATCTTGGCCATTAGCTTCCGCACGTAACCTTACCACTTGAAGTTCATGCTGCCTTATTGTTTCTTCATATGATTCCATGCACACTTATATTTGCAGGCTTTGGGGTAATATGGCAAAAACATAGAATAAAGGATGCTGACAACACGTGAGACGAGACTCACTTTATGTTTTATCTCTAGATAAGACGAAATATTGATTGTGTTTTGTTTTGCATAGTTTGTGTATTTGTTTCACATGATAGTATTACACAGGCATATAATGCATTCATTATGCTGTCCCTCCATGAAAGTTATCTTTAACAACTGAATTGAGGATATGCCATGAAATAAATGCACACCAACATGAAGTATGCTTGTTCCAGAATATCCTCTTTTCATTTTACTGAATTCGTGTATATTACTGGACAGATTTTCACCAATTGTGAATCTTCGACATTCATTACGCCTTGTTTATGGTTATGGCTGCATGTTCCTTTAAGCAACAATAATTGCACGAGTTACACATTTGATCAGTGTTGATACATATATAATTTATTCATTGTATCGCAATAAAGTACATGCACAATGAACAAACAAACTTTGCAACAACTCGCGTTAATATTTTTAAAGCCAGCCCCATTCTTTTCTACAGTACAAAATATATACTTATGTGGTCTTTCCCTTTCTTAGTGGGCCATTCAGGAATGCCCTGACCCGTGATAAAGACGACAGTCTGTCTGTGAACTCCTAGCAAGTGTAATAAGCAGGAACAATCATGTACAGTTATTACGATAACCAGACATTTCGAACAAAACAATCACATACAAGGTACACGTAGTACACCTACAAATGTCATTGAAACGACAGGGAAATAATCATCGCAATAAAGCAAAAAAATAACCAACCAAATAACCAGATGAGGTGCCATACAATTCCTGTTGAAAAATGTGGATATAAATCGCATCGGTATATGTAGGCATATATTGTGTTGGTGATTTGTTATTTGTGAACAATAACATGACTACCTATATTATAGTGTTCGTATATCTGTTTAATTCGTTTAAAAAGATTCCTCTCATTTGTAAATAACGCCCTCACTCCACAATATTTAGAATGAGTGGTTGGTCAAAAGTTTGATGAGTCAGTTGCATCTATTGGCTAAGCTTGTTGTACATAGATGCAAATGAGTATAGGAACCATTAATGCTGTAGGGTGTACTGGGAGGGGTGGAGGATTTCATGTTTGTAATGACTGGTTGTAATGTGGTATCTCGTTGTTTTCAAGATGCAGCCTGATATTTGTTGCTTTTTTGGTTGTTCAATTGTGGCTAAAATTTGTGTGGTGGGTGGGAGATGTGTTTATTGTTTGTTGAGTCATTGTTTAGACACCCTGCAGCTTGAAATGGTATG